GGGGGGGGGGGGGGGGGGGCGGGAATGTTTGATGGCAGTGATGATTTGTAAACAGAGAATTCAAATGATTCAATACAGGTTTTAGGAATATGGATCCTAAACATTCCTCCCAAGAATGACCTCTGGAAGATCACTCTCAGTTCAGGTTATAATGATTTGGATGCCATTTTTAAGCTAATATAGCATGCATCACTTCTGTTTTATTCAGTGAAAACTGGGAGGAGGACTGAAAGAATCAAAAAGAGCAGAGAAAGAAACAGTGCTGTGGGAAAGCTTTCTTCTTTGAAGCTAAGGGAAGCAACTTCAATAAGCAATCAAACACCTGTAATGATGGCCTGGACAGTTATGTCAATCAGTCAGAATTGCTGTGGAGTGCTGTCTCTGAGGTTTTGGTCAATTATCCTAGCGGTCTATCACAAAGAAAATGAGATGGCTTGGTATCATTTCTGCTGCTTGGAAAAAGAGCATCTTGGGGGAACAAGCAGATAGAGGGGAGCAGGTGGTTACAATAAAATGAACATTAGATACTTCAGGCAATTTTAGTAGGGTTTCATCCAGTCTGTAAGAAAAGATTTCTTAGAGATGATAATAGATAAGTTAAACCCAAAGAGGGATCTATTTTAAGATGAAGGCTTTCTGAGCAGTACAATTACTCCCATCACATTGACTGCAGTCACACATCTCATAATGCAGTTTGTTTTTTACCTCAACATGTTGTGAGAATGCAGCCACTGTTTTATGTAAAACCATGGTTTACCATGGCAGTCCACAATCCATATGCAGCCATAATTCATATACAGTTTTACCATGGCAGTCCATAATTCTCATGCAGCCCCTCAGCACCCTGCCACTGAAATCTGGCAACAAAATTCTGACCAGTTTTTCAGGTGAGAATGGAGAAGTTTGCTTCCTAGTAGGCAAGGAAGTTTCTTTGTATAAGCTTATGGCTCACTGTGACTTTTTTCGTCACATTAACTAATTCAGGTGTACAAGACAGCACTTTTCAGATGAAAACAGATGAATACAAAGACAAAGTTAGAGAACTACTAGACCCCACCAACTAAAACGGGATCCAACCAGCAAAATCATGAAACAACCCAACACCCTGACGAGGAGCTCCTCCCTTCACCCCAACGTACTTCAACGCATATGCAAGACAGAAGCCCTTACACCCAGACTA